CCGATTACTCCCATCTACAAACTCGTCCTCCCGATTGGACAAAGAAACGTACAAAGTTCCATGATGATATCTCAATTTTTACACAAGTTACAGCTTTCACTGAAAGACGAACGCACAGACAGTCACGCAGTATATAACCCTATGTTTACCTCGATTAGTTTTAGGTGATACCTAAGTGATAGGTTAGATGAACAAAACTATTATAGCATACTCAGTAGCAAAATGTTGCAAGAGTATAAAAATATGTGAGCAGAGAGTTTATAACCGTCGTTCAAGATCAATATTTAGTCCCCGAGCTCAAAGTCTGTGATAGAAGCTATGCAATAGCTTAAAATAAGATTGAAAAAACAAAATCTAATAGCTACGAAAATAAACACTAACCAAACTTTTTTACTAACTCTAATTTAAGTTATGCAAATGTCTGTAAACACTCGACTGGTGTATTTTCTGTTACCAATAATCAAAGTTCTCAAAATCCATTATTCGAAGAACTAAAAAATACAACGTTATCTTTAAGCAAACTATTAATAATTCTGCAGAATCAGCTGGAAATACAAGCGGCAAGAGTTGATGCAATTTACAAAATATACAATCAGTTAAACCTAATTTCTGTTAATGTCAACTCGCTTATTTATATAAGCAGGAGAATAGAGCTAAGTAAATCCTTATCGAATAATAATCCCGATATTGTTCTGTTGAACGAAACTAAACTTAACACAAGACACAAAGGATTATAGGATATAATTTAATCAGAAAAGATAGATTGATAGAGGTAATAATAACGACACATTTAAATCTGATCTCAATACAACCTTTGAATTCTTAAACGTACAAAACCCCAACCACTATTACATATTAGCTGGTACTCTCAACAGTAAACACTCGACTGGGGTAACCCACAAAACAACTCTAAGGGTAAAGCTCTAAAAAACTGGCTTACCTCCAATGAATTAAAGTTCAGATGGAATATGTATGCTTCGGTTTCTCCATCCTACGAAAGAGCTAATTCTTTTCTAGATATTTCTGCTTGAGATGCATTGATTACTATAGCGATCACTGCGCTATTCAAATCGTTGCGACTAATATAGACAACACAAACTATTTTACTTTGTTAGGCAACCCAATTAAAACCACATTTGACTACAAAAAAACTAACTGGACAAAATTTAAAAAAGATCTTAACATGCAACTTCAAAGTAAATCCCTTGTACCAAACGATAGAAACTTGAACAACTCAGAGATTGATCACCATTTGCTTCATTTAAATAATATTGTATTAAAAGCCATAAAAAGCAAAAATCAAAAGTCCTATTCAAACTCTTGTAAACCTGCCTATCAGAAAAAAAACTGCTAGCAGAAAAAAGAAAATTTCTTTCAGCCATTAAAAAAACATAATCGACTTCAAACATACCTACCTCCCACGACACTTCAAGTAGAAAAATCAAAAATGAAACTTTTAAAAAAACTAATAGATGACAATATTAAGAAACATTTTAATAACCAACTCGAACAAATACCTGCTACCCTTAAGACTAACGATCCCTCAAAATATTCCGTTAGTAAAAAATCGTTTTTAAAAGATAACAATAATACATTCAGTCACATAAATATCCCCTTAAACTCATCCCACATAATCAAAAACGCTGGCTTGGACCGCGACCTTCTGCAAAAGACTCTGTCACGTCAAAAACTACGTCATCAATAACACCATATTTATAAATGAAATAGTCGGGACTCATATCGAAGCAATCCATGCTTCAAAAGAAAGTAAACCCAACAATCCAGTTCACTTGCAGGTACAAGAATGCTTCAAAAATTTTTGGAAATGAAAACTTTATTCGACAGCACTCGAACGACCAAAAGAAACTTCAATACCAACAAAATACCTAATAATTTAAATGATGACCAAACGGAAAAATTTTTTGATAGTTCAAACGACCTCTAAACTAAAAGGTAAACTGTCATCCGGTTTAGACCAAATACCCAATATCATTCTAAAAAACTTCTCCAAATAACTAATATTAGAATACTGCACTTTATTCAATAATATATTAAACAATGCCTACTAAAAAACCTTCGGCCAATTAGTCTGCTACCAAATATTATTAAAGTTTTTGAAGTTTAAATAAAGTTACTAAAAACAACAACTTAATAAGCCCTAAGCGATTCGGGTTCAAATACAGGCATTCGACTATACATGCCATTAATCTTCTCGTCTCCGAAATAAACTGGAACTGGAATAAGAAATATGTCACAGGTTCATGCTTCTTTGACCTTGAGAAAGCATTCGATCAAGTATGGATTATACAACAAACTGGCATCTTAAATATTAGCAAATGCGAAAGCATCCTTCTTCGCTCTCCCAATAATAAATGTAACTCAAACGTTAAAAAAACTGGAAGGAGTTTAATATAAAATGCAGTATAGCAAATATCCAAATACAGCGTAAGGACAGAATCAAATATCTTGGTATTCACCTCGATAAGCTTTTATATTTTAATGATCATATCAACATACAAATCTTAAAAATAAATAGAGCTCTTTATACTTATAAAAAAATGTTTTCCTCAAAACTGCTATATAACAGGCTAAAAATTATCATGTATCAAGCACTAGTGAGACCAATACTTTCATATGGATGTTCAATTGTGTTTAATATCTCTTCTTCATATATGGAAAGACTTAGAAAATTCGAAAGAAGAATACTCCGATCATGCACATCGCTGCATAGGTCACGGAATGGTAATTTCACCAAATTTATATCTAACTCTAAACTGTACGATACTGCAAAAGTTCCCAGAATTTATATAATGACAATAACGCTTTAATAAGAGCTCCTTTTTCGAAAGTGATGACTACTTTGCATTAGCTATTGCAAACAGATTTGCACTACCAGAATCCTTTCTCTACTTGGACAAAAATGGTTTCATCGAAAACGAAGACAACATCCCAATATTTTGTCACATATTAAGAAGAGCTAAAAACAAAGAAGTCACTTCGAAAATACTCACTGCTAAAAACAAATGTTTCGACACATACATCTCGTTTAGAGACAAAACTGAAACCACTTTGACGAAACAGAACTGTTGGTGGCTATTAAATGATAATGAGAACTCCATGTCACATCTAGTCTGAATTCTTGTTCTTCTTTTAACCATTTTATATTATAAAATCATCTATGCATCGTTTTTTTTACCTTTTCCTTGCAAACAAATACAAGTATATACTAACTATATACCTACTAAGGCTAAGATATAATAGTTAATAAAATGTTACTAATAATTGATAGCGGAGTACCCGAGAGCTCGTTTAGAAACACTGTACATATGTATGTATATATTACCGTTGTACTATTGTTTATTGTAGTAATTAAGTTTATTAATTTTTATCAAATAAACAAAAAACTAAAAAAAAAAAATAAAAAATATAATATTATATATAAAAAACAAATAAAAAATTAAAACAAAAAAAAAAATTAAAAAAAATGATTGTATTCCATTCACGATTTCGTCGAATAATAATATTGAATTAATTTTAAATATTTTTTATTATAAAATTCAGCAAACACCTGAGAAGATGTCCCGGGCTTGAAGTCTTTTGAATTTTACTATTTTAAGTTATTAAAAATAATTACTAATTTAAATTCAACAGGTAAGAAAGGGCTAAGTTCGGGTGTAACCGAACGTTTTGTACTCTCGCAAGGTAAAATTATGTATGGGATTTTCGTATATATTTTAATTAAAAGTAAAAACTATTGCATTTATTATGTACAATCACAGGCAAGAAGATACACTGTTATTAGACTCAAATTGTTTCTGAATTTTATTAAGATTTCTTTCATATTGACCGATAGGTGCGCTGTAAATACAGCCGGAAGCTTGAAAAAATTTACATATATTAGGTATATAGGAGGAAGTATTGACCCAGTTTTACCCATGTTAGGCACAAGGGCAAGCTGTCACCATAAAAACATTCTCCCCGAAAATCAATATTAGACCATATAGATTGACCGATATGTTTGGTAAACAATCAGCGATATGCACAGAGGTCGCCATATTTGATGTCTAGGTTCTTAAAAAGTTATAGCCCGAATTGGAGATTTTTGAAAGAACCACATGGAATTTAAAGTTGTGTTATATGGGTAGTAGACGTGGTTGTTGTCCGATTTCGCTTATTTTCACAGTGTATGATCGGAATGGTTGAGTAACCTTACATACCAATTGGGTTGAAATTATAGTAGTTCCTGAGATATAGGATTTTACTTAAAGATGAGCGATGCCACGCCCATCATTGAATTTTTCACACCCGCTCCTATAAAGCTCTTCCCTACTATCTTCGTTGTGAAATTTAATATTTGTGGCGCATTTATTCAGTAAATTATCAAACTTTTAGTAGTTTTCAACATACCCGTATTATAGGGAGTGGGCGGGGTTATTAACTATTTTCACAACGTATAAAGAAGTGCTATAAGGACTTTCTCCCAGCCCAGTTTGGTTGAGTTAGCTTCAGCTGTTTGGAAGATATTTACATTTAACTATTTAGAGGGCGAAGCCACGCTCTCTTCAAAAAAAAAGGGAATTTTCTGTACCATATTATAGTTTTGAGTCTTAATTTCGTGCTCAGTTTTAACACTTTTTTGGTTTTCGTTTAATGGCGTTTTGTGGGCGTAGCAGTCGTCCGATTACGCCCATCTGTAATACCGATCTCCCTTTCCAAGGAACAAATGTACCACGTTTTATCAAGATATCTTAATTTTTACCTAAGTTATCGCTGGCACGGACAAACGAACAGACGGACGGACGAGCGGACAGACAGTCACCCGGATTTCAACTCGTCTCGTCACCTTAATCATTCATATATATGGTATGTAACTCCACATCTATCTCGATTAGTTTAAGGTGATACAAACTCGATTAGTTTAAGGTGATACAAACAACCGGTAGGTGAACAAAATCATTATACATCATAAGAACATGTACACACAATAGAGAACTGTATACCTTATAAAGTGGTCTAGGAGGTTCCAGTAGTTCTGGGGGTGTCGATAAGGTACCCCAACGAAAAGCGAGTTCAATAGAATACCGCTTCCACGCCTCTAAATATAATGAAGCCCACGCTACATTAAATAGTGAAAATAGAACGTGTCCCATATCTTGCGCTGTTTGTCCTTTTCCCCAGAGTGCTGCATACAATATCATGCCAAAGACAGCTGGCACGCCTAAGGCGCAGGTGTAATGGCCTAGCCACGCAAAGTAAAGTGCTACTTTCACACCAAAATATTCAGCTATATCATCTGAAAATAAATGAATAATCTAGTAGTTTGGTATAAGAAAATATAATATAACAAATTACCAAGTGGTTGCGGGGCAAAAATCTGTTTTACCCAACTGTTTTGTAGCAGCGCCAGTGAGCGGGTTTCATGTAGCGGAAAAACCTGCACAATCAGACCAGTCTCTTGCCAGGCTGCAATGATGCTTTGCCCTTCGGCTACAGTTGCACGGCCCTGCAGTGCCTCAATATCCGCCTGACTGGCACGGAGGCCTTGTAGTACCTGCAGCACCAGCCATTGCCGTTCTTGCGATGTGAAAAGTGCACTGCTTCCATCTTCGGTTAGTATTTGCTGAAAACAATGGCTTTCGCGTGTTGTGAATTCACGTAAGGCACCACCTAGGTCAGGACGTAAGCGTTTCGGTAATCGTGCTTCTTCGGCGGCTTTAAATAGTCTGAAGTTAAAGAAAACAAGATTTTATATTTTTAAATAAAACAAAAACTCATACAAAAATAAAGTGCCCCAAGCCCTATTGCAAAATTGCCAAAAAGTCTAAATAGCAACTTACACATTCGTTGGTGCACTAATGTAGAAAGCATTCCGGCGTGTACTTTCGTGAGCCTTTACTTGTACAACCAATCCAAGTCCCGAAGGTGGTTGACAACGCAATCGAGAGAGAAGCCAACGAAGAGCATCGTTAGGCGCATCTTCTGGAAACTCGATGACAACATCACATTGTGTCGGTATTTTATTCAACCAAAGTCGTCGGGGGGTCATTAAATGGCCAGCATATGGAACTTTTCGACGTAATTGACGGGAAGCTAAAGAAGAGACATAGAGAGTGACAAAATTTTTTTCCTTCAAGTCTTGCAAATCTGCAATAACTGATTTTTTTTTATGGAGAGATGTATTTTTTAAAAGTCTTATATATTATTAGTAATTAATATTTGCAAAGATTTTTAATTCTAATTTCTTGCTCGGTTGCGAACCATGATACAGCAAGATGCGGCAATATTATATAGAATTTTAAGTAATTTGAACTTCTAATCTATAAACTTCAAAGTTAATGTATAAACCAAAAATTTCTAGCCTGATGAAAAGAACCCACCAAAATCAAAACATCTCTATCTTGCTTTAGAGTACCAATCTAATTAGAGTACTGTCATTTCATCCAATCGTTCTCATGTTTCTGCCCCCAAAGTGAAGCTGCATCTGCTATTTGTGTTTACACTGGAATAAGTGAATTTCATAGTTCAATATAAATTGTGTGTCCTGATGGAAAACACGCCGTTGATGCAAAGCAATGGCTTTGTCAGAGTCAAACGTAGGTTTGATAGTACTAGCACAAATGATGCCATTATTCAGAGAGGCTACAAAAAGCAATAAGGCCAGGAAATCCGTGAAACTGTATTCAGTGAGCGTATGTTAAAATGAGATTAAGTTGTTAGTTAACATTACTGGCGTCTCAAGGGAAATGATAACATCGATCAAAAAGACAAACGTTTTACAATAATTATGCGCCGATTTATGACAGAGGATAAAACATGACACACCTGAGATCAATCGACTCTCCGCTAAATGGTTGTAGCCTGATAAAAGTTTTTGAAAGCGCCCGCAAAAACTACAGTGGGTTCGCAAAATTTTACCAATTAATTTCATCTACTTGATGACTCCCATTTTCAACTTTCTGGAAGTTTTAAATTGATTTTCCATTACGTAACGTACTCAGAGCCGCCGAGAGAAAAACTGGGCTCAGGAGTAAAAAGATGTGGGTCCCTTCCTACATAAATCTTTTTAATACTTTATAAAATTTATTAACTATCTTCCCACTTAATATTATACTTCAATATTTTTGAATAATAAATGTTTTAAGCTCTCATCACATCTGTGTTAAATTTGCTTTCTTGTTTATGTTCGGTTGAAACAAATTTGTTTTGTACGATTTTGAAAATCAATAATGTACAAATCAGTTCATACATAGACTTTCAGTCAAAAATACTTTTTCAGATTAGACATGAATATATGAATATAGGGATAGTAACTATATTCATGTCTAATCTGAAAAAATATTTTTGACTGAAAGTCTATGTATGAACTTGACAGTTAATAAGAAGACAGAAACATCTCATTCAAACGTTTATTTATCGATATAACTAATGAAAAAACGTTCCTTTTAAAAGCTTAAGTTCTTCAACATGCAGTTTAAAATCATCCTATCTTAAATATTTCGGAACTTAGAAGTGAGCTTTTCGAGCTTTGGCGACGGCGAATGTGTCGATAATAGTCTGGAAATCCAAGTTCTTGGCTAATTCGGCCTCTATTTTTAAATTTTGTATCCTTTCTAAAGCACTAAACGAACATTCACCATTTGGAACAGATACGGATAAAGTGCAAAATATTCTTAAAGTGAAGCAAATGTTTGGAAAAAGACTTCCTGATTTTCGAGCATTGATGGCATTCAATAAGTTGTATAAAGTTGAAAATTAGCATCGTACAAAAAAAAACCTTAATAACTTTCTTTATACGTGAGTAATCGACCTACTTGTTTCAGTTTATTATTGGCAGGTTATTTTTTTTTTTTTTTATTAATGCTTGGGATACCGCATAGAGGGTTTAGATAGTGCAGCGCTACCATTCTTTGCAGTCCGTCATTTCCGTCCAAGGGAAATTCAGACGGGATTTTGGCGGCACCCCCGAGTAGATGAATCATTATAAGATTGGTAAGCATGTTTGCCGAATCTGGAAGTATTGCAAGAAGACCGTACCCTCGAGATTCGTACGTTCGTGTTTGAGAAACAATCGAGGCTATTGCATCGTCAATACAGGCAAATCCAAGAGTTTCGACTCGCAACTTATCGGCGCAACTGGGAGTTAACAGACGGTTATTACAACGGATTCATGATGACTTAAACCAGTTTCCATACAAAGTTCAACTAACAAGCCGGTTAAACCCTCTAAATTTTCTATTCGCCTGGAATTTTGCTAAAAAATTATTGAAATGGCCGAAGAAGACAATAACTTGATAAATTGTCTATTTATGTCTGACAATACCCGTTTTGATCTAAACGGAAATGTAAGCATGCAAAATTGACGTATACGGAGGGAACCGAATCCAGAAATAATCCACGAGACGGAACTTCACCCAAAACGAGTCACTGTGTGGTACGCATTTTCATCAAGGTATAGGGTCGGTCTATACTTCTTTGAAGAAAACGGTGTAACGGTAACTGTCAATGGGCACCGTTCTTTAAAAATGTTGTAAAGATGTTTTTTTTTTACCAAGAATAGGGTAAAACTACAATCATTCCCTTCACTAGACGGAGGTCACTGCCAGACCTCAGAAATCTATCCCTTGACGGTAGAGTGGTGGAGATGGCCAGCATGGTCAAGTACCTGGGCCTCATGCTGGATTCCACTCTAGTAGCATGTGGACCTGACCCTAACCAAGGCTACGAAAGCACTCATGGTGTGCAACCGACTTGCTGGGAAATCCTGGGGGTGCTTCCCAAGGACTATCAGATGGATGTACACCATGATCGTAAGACCGATTATCACGTATGGAGCGGTATCTTGGGTTTCTAAAGCATCGCAGACTTCGGTAGGACTTAAACTGTCGAAGCTGCAAAGACTTGCCTGCATCTGCGCGTCGGGCGCAATGCGTACGTGTCCGACTGCAGCACTGAAAGTCATGCTAGAACTGATACCGCTACATATGGTAATCAAACAGACAGCCAAACAGACTCTACTCCAAATGACAGCAGAGGGAGTTGGCAAAGGGAAGGTAATCTCGTCCCTGCAGATGAAGGCGCTAAGTGTGGAAATGCCACTGGCCCTTCTGCCAAGGGACAGCATTACCAAAATAGTAAGCTTCACTAAGAAGTTCAAAGTTACCCTTGGCAGCAAGGCGGAATGGAATGATTTGTCACTGGACCTGCTGCTAAAGGGAAAGCACTATCAAGTGGTACACCGATGGGTCGAAAACGGCGGAGGGGATTGGTGCAGGGGTCGCTGGGCCAAGCACCAAACTCTCCATTCCCATGGTAAGTTTTCCGAGCATTTTCCAAGGCGAGGTCTATGCTATAAGTCGGTGTGTAGAGATAAACCTCCAACGCAACTATCGCAATAGAAGTATTGCTATACTCAGCGATAGTCAGGCGGCACTAAAAGCGAACTCTGCCTATGAGATCAGATCAATTCTAGTGCAGGAGTGTATAGAACGGCTGAACAGCCTATCAGAACATAACCGAGTGCACCTTATTTGGGTGCCTGGTCACAGGGGTATAGCCGGGAACGAATTGGCTGACGAGTTGCCCGCTCTACAGCCTCTACAAAAATGGTAGGACCGGAGCCATTCATAGCGGTTGGTCCACATACCATTAAAAAGCTGCTCCGTAGGGAGGGAAGAGCAGGCAGGGAGAGACATTGGCAACAACTTCAAGCCATACACCATGCCAGGTTGCTAATGGGGGGTTACGACCTCAGACGGTTTAAAGCAGTAATTAATCTCTCGAGGAACAAATTTCGGCTGCTTGTCGCGTTTTATACCGGCCATTGCAGGCTCAAGAAGCATATCTTCAACATGGGCTTAGCCTCTTCTGAAAACTGCCGGTTCTGCGACATGGAGCCGGAAACCCCAGAACATCTGCTAATGAACTGCACAGCAGTCTGCAGACGCAAAATCAAGGCCCTGGGATCCATGTTTCCAAACAGGGATTGTATCGTTTCACTAGCACCCAGCAGAATATTGGAGTTTATCAGCATGCTGGGGCTAGATGAGTCGATATGACTTAGGGGAGGATACAACAGACCATAGGTCGAGGTGCATACCTTAAAATTAATCTATCTATCTATCTACCCAGAATAGCGCTGACGACGTATTCCTTTCAATAGCGTTTGGTTCCATGGAGCAACTGCACACATAGCCAGACCGGTTATTTCGGAGCTCCAACGAAAATTTGAATTCAAATTAATATCAAGAAACTCCACTCCGGTCACTTGATCTAACTGCACCAGACTTATTTATGTAGTTATGTCAAGCAAGAGGTGTACAAAACAAAACCCAGAAATCTGACAGAATTGAAGCAGTCCATTAAATCGAGGCAATTGTCGGTAATTGAGGCAATCCCGACTTCACTCCTTCAGCCCGCAATGAATAATTTTCTTATTAGGTGTCGCATGTGCGTGGCTGAGCATTGAGGTCATTTACGGTCCATAATTTTTAAAAATAATTAATTATATAAAATAAAATAAAATTTGGTATACAATAAAAAAAATGTAATGCATTGATTAAAAAAAAGTTAGAATAGATTCTTATACCGGCAATTACGAGGATGGTTCTCTTTTTTTTTGAAAAAGCCTAAAAACAACACTTTTCTATACTTCTATAAAAGCGATTCGTAATCTTATAGTTGTATGTATATAAAAGAGAGTCGTGTAAGCTGCAATATTTATAACTCAAGAACGGTTTAATCGATTTGGCTGAAAATTGGTGGGGAGATAGCTTAGAATCGTCTATTTTAAAACATTCGCTACTGTTGTTAATGAAAATAAAATCGTAAATAATCTAGATATACTCGGAATCACATTACATAATCTTCGGATGAAAATTATTCAGAGTAATATTATATCACCTTAATTACGCAACGGTACACGTTTGGTAATCAAACCTATTATTAGAAATATTATTATAGCAACTTTTTGGACTGGAAAATTTAATGGAGAAAAAATTTTGAATGATCTAGCCTCTTTCATTACCTGAAGTGTTATCAACTAATATTTTTGAAAACTACTTTTTTGTTTCGAACTTAAATATAAAATTATT